CGCTGTGCCACTGGGGAGTCAATAGAATATTGATTAATAATAACAAATGAAATCTTGACCCGAATATGGCCAGGTGGTTAGGACGCTCGACTCGCAATCTGAGGGTCGCAGTTACGAATCCCCGTCCCACCAAACATGCTCGCCCTTTCAGCCGTGGGGGCGTTATAATGTGACGGTCAATCCCACTATTCGTTGGTAAAAGAGTAGCCCAAGAGTTGGCGGTGGGTGGTGATGACTAGCTGCCTTCCCTCTAGTCTTACACTGCTAAATTAGGGACGGCTAGCGCAAATAGCCATCGTGTAGCTTTGAGCGAAATTCAAAACAAAACAAAGACCCGAATATTAACACAATTAACAAATATAAATAGATTTATAAATATAATTATAAGTGTATCTTAAATAAATTGAAGATATACTTAAAGAGAGTATAGAGTGTTAAAAAAATAGTCTTAAGTTTTGGAATATTGATTTCTAATGTGTATTTCTTGGTAGCAATTACAAAGTTTTACTTAGTAACAGTTAAAAATTAAAATACTATAAGGAAATAAGAAAAAAATAGAAAATTTACAAAGTTAGCTGGCACGAATTTGAAGGAAAATATGACATAATAATCACATTTAAACCAGCCAGTATCAGATAACTCATTTACTACAATTATGCTTTAACATATCACGAATCATTGTTTTGGGATCGTCAAGGGGCCATTTGTGGATTTCAATCGACGTCTATTAAATTCTGTATGAATTATTTTGTTTTGAGAAAGTGTTTATTGAGACCACAAAAACTTTCAAAGAGCTTGTTGTATGACGCTGACGATTTACTTGGGACCGAAATGAATCACTTCTTAGTGTTATGTATTGAAAACCTTCATCTGTCTCTGTTTATTAATTACGACCTATAGATTAGTAGGCCAGTCCCTCTGTCACAAATATATAGTTATGTGTGTGTGTGTGTTGGTTTTCAAGTTTTTCACTCAATCCGCGAGTTCAGTTAATTGTTTGTTTCTCCATTGGTCATTTAGTCAGGCCATCTTCACAATTATCATGATTTGTCAATCATTTTTGTGGTTGGGCAATTTTTTCAATTATCTTTCATCTAAATATCTACACCGTACACGATAAATTATTCTACTTGTTATTTTATGTATTTCTACATTTATAATTTGTTCATTCACCAATTCGTACACCATTCACTATATCAACAAGTTCATTCATCTATCCTCTAATCTTTCGTTCTGTTTGTCCATTTTATCAGTTCTTAATCCATAAGTTTCTTATATATCCATTCATCTTTTTGACTCCGAGTCTTGTTAATCTATCCTTTTTTATTTATTCTTTCACTAGCCATATATCTCACTCCTTCCATTTATGTATCTTTCGGATTCTATACATCCATACATTTGAATATTTTCTAAGTAGTCTAAGCTAGTATTGTTCCTTTCCGCTCATCAATCTGTGTTTCTTTAAGCTAACTAGACTGAAGGTCTTTTTTTTTCTCACTTCATCTGTATTTTAGGATTTCTAAACTGACCATCTTTCTTTTTGTCCAGTCTCTGTATTTTAGGCCGTCTAAACTCACCATCTTTCTTTCTGTCCAGTCTCTTTATTTTAGACCGTCTATACTGACCATCTTTCTTTCTGTCCAGTCTCTGTATTTTATGCTGTTTAAACTCACCATCTTTCTTTCTGTCCAGTCTCTTTATTTTAGACCGTCTATACTGACCATCTTTCTTTCTATCCAGTCGCTGTATTTTATGCTGTTTAAAATAACCATCTTTCTTTCTGTCCAGTCTCTGTATTTTAGGCTGCTTAAACTGACCATCTTTCTTTCTGTCCAGTCTCTGTATTTTATGCTGTTTAAACTGACCATCTTTCTTTCTGTCTAGTCTCTGTATTTTAGGCTGTTTAAACTGACCATCTTTCTTTCTGTCCAGTCTGTGTATGTTAGGCCGTCTAAACTGATCGTCTTTCTGTGCTTGCTAAGTTATCTAAACTGGTTGCGTTTTACCCTGTTTTCTATTTGAATTTATATAAACATTTGCCTCGTTTCTGCAAAATCTGAGTTTGACCGACTAGAATAGAAATAAGTGTAATATTTATTATGTACACACCTATCATAAATTTACATCTGAACATTAATTTTTACGTATTATTTATGGAAAAGGACGGTCTCCGTTTATTATAAGAAAAACTTATGTGATGATCTCATGGCCTACCGTCTGGAATTTTCTCCAAAGTTTTAAAACAATTTGAGCAGTGTAAAACGCGAGTTAGGCTAGAGTAGAGTGATTATTGATTACTGAATTAGTCAGTTAATCAGATACTTAACGAAGTTGTGAGTTATTGGGTCAGTTGGTCTATTAGTCAGAAAATGACTTAGTTAGTCTGTAAGTTAATATTTCTTTACTTCAGTGCTGTGAATAGTGAATTTCCTTTTCAAGAAAGTAATGGAGATACGATGAAATACAGCACGTAAGAGAAAATTAGCATGTAGGTGTAATTATTCAATTAGGTCTATTGCTCTTAAGCTTTGGGTTAGTTGCGTAAAACTGCGAACCTGTATTGTTTGTTTGTTTGTTTTAGAGCAAATCCAATGGGCTAGCTGCAGTGTCCACCTTTTAGTCTTGTGAGTCCGTAAACTTACCTCTGTCCCATCGCGGGACTAGAATTTGTACTTAAATAAATAAAACATTTTCATTATTTTTAAGTGTACTATATATTCTTTTTAACGATAAATTAAAATAACTTGACCAACTTTAGAAACCGTTACAACAATATTGGTTTCTATACAAAACTCGACAGAAAGTAAACAGCCGTCAATACAGTTCATTTCCTGAAATTGGAATAAATTTATTTGTTTGTTTTTAAGCACAAAGCTACACCATGGGCTGTCTGTGCTGTATTCACCACGAGTATAGAAATCCGGTTTTTAGCGATAAGAGACCTCAGACTTACCATTTAACTGCTGGGGACATTAGAATGAGTTTAGAAAGTTGCATTTTTTAAG